TGTGACATATAGTGATAGCAAGGTGGAACATAGAGTGATAAAGTGTTATCTGGCGCATTAATAGAGGAATGTGACATATAGTGATAGCGAGGTGGAACATAGAGTAATAAAGTGTTGTCTGGCGCTTTAATAGAGAGGGGTGTGACATATAATGACAGCGAGGTGGAACATAGAGTGATAAAGTGTTGTCTGGCGCATTAATAGAGGAATGTGACATATAGTGATAGCGAGGTGGAACATAGAGTGATAAAGTGTTGTCTAACTCTTTAATAGTGGGGTGTGACATATAGTGACAGCAAGTTGGAACATAGTGTGATAAAGTGTTGTCTTACGCATTAATAGAGGAGTGTGACATATAGTAACCAAGAGGTGGAGCATTTAGAGAATAACCAACGAGGTACGAGTGATTACTGGAAATATGCCCGAGTTGAAATAATGTTCACAGTGCCGAGACTTTGTGAGATGGTCAACTCACAAAGGAGTCATTCGAAATGTTCAAGTGGAATACACCACCATGAAATTGACCTTAGAATCGTGTATAAGTGGGCAGAGTGGTGGACTTACAAGGGTTTGACAACAATTTATTGATGGACTGATGTTGTTTGTCATTAATTGAAGAGAAATTGTTTATTGATTGAACATTTTTGTGCCCGGAATAGTGTGTCTGGTTCTATAGCATGCATACCGTGGCAGACTCACTTGTCACACTTTCAGGTAACACCTTTAGTCGTTATCTTGCTGCTTCTATTTCCCCGAATTCAGTTTTAACAGCAAACAGGTTGTAGGAATTCAAGGGCTGTAAAATTCTTCTCACTCTTCCTATTTGGTCGTCGTCCACTTTAACTAGGTCATTGACCTTGATCGGGGTTGGCCATTTACAAAAAATGCCAACAATTGTTTTGGGTTTTTATAAGTTTATTTATTTTAAAAAGACTACTACTTATAACGCAATTGTATTGCAAAATACTAATGTCTAATAAAAAGAGTATTCATACTCTTTAACTTTTTATGTTTTCTTTTTTAAATCTCGGAATGTGTGAGTACAGCACGATATAATTAACAATGAAACGGTAAAAGTTGTCAATGAACTTGGATCATGAAAAGTAGATCCGTCAACCAATCATATTTCTTCAGTGCTTAGCTGACCAATCAACGTTGAGAATCAACGAAATGCACATGTGCGACTATCACAAAATCAATCACCTGTGTATCCTAGCCCGTATGGGTAATAAAGAGTGATAAAGTGTTGTCTAACGCATTAATAGAGGGATGTGACATATAATGACAGCGAGGTGGAACATAGAGTGATAAAGTCCTGTCTAACAGATTATAATAGAGGGATGTCACATATAATGACAGCGAGGTGGAACATAGATTGATAAAGTGATGTCTAACGCAATATAATAGAGGGATGTGACATATAATGACAGCGAGGTGGACAATAGATTGATGAAGTGTTGTCTGACGCATTAATAGAGGGATGTGACATATAATGATAGCGAGGTGGAACATAGATTGATGAAGTGTTGTCTGACGCATTAATAGAGGGATGTGACATATAATGACAGCGAGGTGGAACATAGATTGATGAAGTGTTGTCTGACGCTTTAATAGAGGGATGTGACATATAATGACAGCGAGGTGGAACATAGATTGATGAAGTGTTGTCTGACGCATTAATAGAGGGATGTGACATATAATGACAGCGAGGTGGAACATAGATTGATGAAGTGTTGTCTGACGCATTAATAGAGGGATGTGACATATAATGATAGCGAGGTGGAACATAGATTGATGAAGTGTTGTCTGACGCATTAATAGAGGATGTGACATATAATGACAGCGAGGTGGAACATAGATTGATGAAGTGTTGTCTGACGCTTTAATAGAGGGATGTGACATATAATGACAGCGAGGTGGAACATAGATTGATGAAGTGTTGTCTGACGCATTAATAGAGGGATGTGACATATAATGACAGCGAGGTGGAACATAGATTGATGAAGTGTTTTCTGACGCTTTAATAGAGGGATGTGACATATAATGATAGCGAGGTGGACAATAGATTGATGAAGTGTTGTCTGACGCTTTAATAGAGAGATGTGACATATAATGACAGCGAGGTGGAACATAGATTGATGAAGTGTTGTCTGACGCATTAATAGAGGAATGTGACATATAATGACAGCGAGGTGGAACATAGATTGATGAAGTGTTGTCTGACGCATTAATAGAGGGATGTGACATATAATGACAGCGAGGTGGAACATAGATTGATGAAGTGTTGTCTGACGCTTTAATAGAGGGATGTGACATATAATGACAGCGAGGTGGAACATAGATTGATGAAGTGTTGTCTGACGCATTAATAGAGGGATGTGACATATAATGACAGCGAGGTGGAACATAGATTGATGAAGTGTTTTCTGACGCTTTAATAGAGGGATGTGACATATAATGATAGCGAGGTGGACAATAGATTGATGAAGTGTTGTCTGACGCATTAATAGAGGGATGTGACATATAATGACAGCGAGGTGGAACATAGATTGATGAAGTGTTGTCTGAAGCATTAATAGAGGGATGTGACATATAATGACAGCGAGGGGGACCATAGATTGATGAAGTGTTGTCTGACGCATTAATAGAGGGATGTGACATATAATGACAGCGAGGTGGACAATAGATTGATGAAGTGTTGTCTGGCGCATTAATAGAGGGGTGTGACATATAATGACAGCAATTTGGAACATAGATCGACACTTGCGACACGTACTAAGTGATAGTCATGTACATTGACACTTGCGACACCTAATTTCAAATAGGTGTTTGACATATACTGGCATATACTGCACACACTGTGTGACATATAATGACATACATGGGTGACGAAGTTCATAATTTGTGCAAAGGGTAAAAGATTGCCATCAGCAACTGTCACCGGTTGAGTTTATTTTATAAATTGAAAAACGGTATGACACCCTCATATCTATCACTGTTTGTTCCCCCTTCTGTTGCAGAAAGGACTGTCTATAATTTACATGATTTGGCCAACCTCAGAGCAGAAGGCTGAAGGTCAGTCAGTCACGGCCGGTCATTTATTCCTTCTGTTGTTCAAGACTGGAATAACTTAGTGACACAATTAAAAATGCACACACTGTGAAACACTTTAACCTTCTTATCAATCAGGATAGACCTTCTACACAAAACTTTAAATGGTATGTAAACTATGGTTCACGCCACTTACAAATAATTATGTGTAGATTAAGATTAGAATGCAGTAACCTAAAGGCACATATGCACAGACGATTCGTAGTTGAAAATCCTTCATGCCAATGTGGCCATCCAACCGAAGATGTCTATCATGACTTATTCGTCTGTCCAGTATACCAACACATACGCAAAGATAAATATTTCTTCACACATAACATATGTATCATAGATATCCTACATTGGAGAGGTGTACCTGAACAAGACGCTCTAAAAATTACTGATTCTGTTATTCAATATATTACAGCAACTGGGCGATTTCCTGAATGACAAGAACTATTTTATTCTGGTCGACACGTTTCTTTCCAAGTTTTCTTCTTTCCTGTTGCGATGATTAATCTTTAATCTTCAAAACTGAATAAGAAGACACTTTTCCTTGTCCGCCACCTAAGTTATTATTTTACCAAAATAAGTGCACGTTAAAAATTTGTAATATATCACTTGATTCCGCACATCTAACATCTACTATCTTCTCGCATTTAAAATTGATCTTCCATGCTCTAGAATTTATGTTTTATGTGTGTCGTGTAAATTTGTCTTAATATATTGTAATATGTAGTGTACCCTTATTCTGCACCATGTGGAGAGGCATTGAGATAAGCCACAGGCCTGTTTGCCAATCCACTCCATTTCATTAATATATTATATGCACATGCTCTATTGAATAATAAATATCGTTTAAAACTGATTATTTTTCTAAAGTTTGTGAATCAAATAAGTCATGGTTTTATCAAGAATAAAAATCTCTACTTACATGTGAATATTATTTGTCCACTTTTAAGGATCCTGAATATAGAAGGCATATATTTTTGTTAGAAACTGGGGAATTGCCTTTAATTAAATAAGTTGGTAGAAGTTGCGATATGTTGTTCGCGATGAACGATTTTGTAATTTATGTATGAATGGATGTATAAAAGATGAATACCATTTTCTGTTAATATGTAAAGTTTATTCCATTTTAAGACATAAGTATATTCCTGAATATTTCTGGAAACATTCTTCTATCTATTTTTTATATATTTAATGTACATTAAACCACTGTACATAGGAAAGGTTGTAGATGTAACGGACAAAGCCGGAAGGGAACGTTGTTTGCCGATGTTGACCACTAATGCATCTCTGTATAAATACGCCTCGCTAGGTCATTACACAGACGCAAATTCACAAGCATTTCACTGCCATTCAGTTTCATTACAACGAGAAGATAATTAAATGAAGACTCTTTAAACATTTCAGTTTTATACACATGGTATACACGAATGTAATTCTGGCGGTAGTAGCACTATATAATCGTCACAATGTTTGTGTTTGAAGATTCACATTACTGGACGTGCCGTTACATAGGAAACAGACCATGCACGTGTTTTCCTTGTACTTGGGAGTGATCGAGAATACACACCCCTCTTCACATGCGTGTAATCATACCGAAGCGCTGCAGATCAATGGCATTGTGACTGTCACTATCTTAAGAGCTTCTTAAAAAGGAAAACATGACATCTCGGCAATGTGGGAAGTAGTTTCAATGGATAGGCCATTTAACACACACGCTTAACTAAACAATGACAGTATGTATAAACTTTGTGCGGTCATTCTACTCAAATCCAAGCATGAGCCCAAAGAGTAAAATATAGCCCTATTAAGCCTAAACATATGTGACACTGATTTTGAGGCAGGTTAACCATGCTTGAAGACTGTGATTAAGTATGGCCATGGTGTATTGAGTGGTACAAATGGATCAAGTCATCAAAGTCATCGTTGAGAACATCTGTACCTTTACATTACAGAATGAGATTGCCATGGATGAAGATGACGATGTTGGGCCTCATGGGCGTGGTGAGTTTAAGTGTGGTTATCACCGTATTTGAAGTGGAATGGTCGTCGACACGAGGAACAAATATTGTAACAGAGAACAAACTCCATGTGTTCAGAAGATCCAACCTTCTACAGTCTCAAACAACGGCCATGGAGGGGGTTCGTAATGACATAGAGACGGTCGTCATTGGACGTGCTCCCTGCTCAACACGGAATACTTCTAAACTTGTAAACATGCGACAATGTAAAGCAGTCATAACATCCTCGGGTGAGTCTCCTCATATATACTCTTCGAAACAAGTAAGGGAGCTCATTTTTAATTTACGATTGAAAAAATGGGACATATATCGGAGTCAATCAATTCTGATATGACCATAGTTGTTTGTACATCTCTTGAAAGATGATTGGTGTATGACGTGAAATTTGCATGTGTACGATTTTCATTTTCAAACAAACAAACAAACAACAACAAGCTAGAAACAACCACTAACAACTATGTGATGCAAGATGATTGTCAAAATTAATGATCTACATTGATTTATCGACCTTCTAGGAACCGTCAAAATCAAGAATGACACCCTATGCACGGGTATGAGGCTACTGCGTTGTGCACGTGCATCCCATGCGTTATGTTTAGGGGTGGTGACAAAGAGAAATGGTAGTGCGTTCATAAGATGATTGTCTTTGAAAGGTTTGTTAACACGTAATACGGTATACTTCCTATCCACATTGAAAGTTCAAGTTGCTGTACGTCTTTTAATGTTGTACATGTACCTGGAGATAAACCTCCTCTGTTTTCAGATGTTGTAAAGTACTTCTCTTTAAGTAAGTGAGTATGGTTTTACGCCGCGTTTACCAATATTCCAGAAATATTGGGGACACCAGAAATGGGTTGCGCACATTTTACCCATGTGGGAAATTCAACCCGAGCGGACGCATTAACCACTAGGTTTCCTCACCACCCTACTTCTCTCTTATGATTCCTGTGCATATATATAATATACACACACACATTATGTATCTCATCGTGATTCTGGGTCAGAATACGTACCCTGCAAACAATGTTCGGTGTATGAGACAGCTAAAGGGACCAGGTAATTAGGTTCACTAGCTTGGTACATTGTGTTACATGGGATAGGTCCCCAGCAAACAATGCTTGATGTATGAGACAGCTACTTGTCTATGCTTGTATGAGGTAGGTTCAAGGACTGGGTTACAGGCTTGTTGACCTGGTTGACTGTGTCACATAGGTTGGGACTCAAACAGACTGAATCTATGTTTGTCTTACGAAGGATCTACATGTACAGGAGGTTAGGTTTGGTGACTTGTATATGTGCTACATGTATATTTCAGAAAATAATCTGATCCCCATCGACGTTGTTCCCCAGAGTTTAGAAACACTAGAAGGCATACACGGGCGAGACTTAGAGCTTGGAGGAATGTACATACCACGGAGATGTGCGCCAGTTCAGAGAGTCGCCATTGTGGTGCCTTATCGAGACAGAGTGGACCACCTCAAGATATTTCTGAAAAACATCCATCACTTCTTGAAGAAACAAGGCGTGCAATACATGATTATAGTTGTAGAACAGGTTGGACAACATCGTCGTAGATTTCACTAATATAAGACAATTACTGCCAATGTAAATATATATGGGATAACGATATGCATACGCGCAGGTTGTGGGATTAGTTCAGTTATTTGGCGCTTTTTGGATAACAGTATAATCACTTATGACAATTTTCATGAGTGTAAATAAATATACTTTGTGTGTCCATTTAACATACGTTCAGAAGTTTATATTCAATATATCTCCGTTGATATGTGTGTCAGAGTTATGAGCACGAGTATAATATAGGCCACAGACCTTTGACACTCATAAGGTATGTCTGTAATAGGATATATATTTCCCCGCACCCCCCAGTCACATCTGGACACCCCCGCCTTTCCATGGGAGGTAATATCTTGGGTAAAACTTTGAATTGGACTCGGTTTCGTAGAATATTATTCCCACAGGCCGTTAATATGATAGAATTTGACTCAGAAACAAACAGTCGAAGCCCTTAGCGACCCACCTGTTGTCGATTTGGTAGTTAAACATTTGACAATACATACTGTATATACATGTATGTTGTAGGCTCCAGGCTCTAGATTTAATAGGGGGATGACAAGGAACATCGGTTTCGTTGAAGGGGAAAAACTGTGTGGCTTCGACTGTTACATCTTCAACGACATCGACCTCATCCCACAATTAGATGCCAACGCCTACATCTGCGACGACATGCCACGCGTTCACGCAATTAACCTGGAGCGTTGGGAACACCGGTGAGTTTTTATCTAGATTCCATGCAGTCAGTTCAACAGGGCCACAAAGCTTATCAAACCAGGCATAATCAAATATCATATTATCATAGTGAGTGAGTATGGTGTTACGCCGCTTTCGCAGTATACTGGCAATATCAAGGTGGGGGACACAAGATATAGGCTTTTCACAATGTACCCATGTAGGGAATCTTACCCGGGTCTTCGGCGTGAAGGGCGAACTCTTTAACCACTAGGCTACCCCACCGCCCATATATTACCATAGAAAATAGATATACATAATTTATATATTAAGAGCGAGCGAGTGCGTGAGGGAGCTCCTTTCCTTGCTCCCTTGAAAAATAGTTTTGAAACGCTGTAGTAACTGTTGGTTGAAATTATTTACCACGTTAATTGATTTCAGGAGATTTTAGTGCTGCCAGACCAAAGTTTATAATCCGCCTGCGAAAAGTTACATTACAACGTGATCATATACAATGGGGCATGGATGAAAGACGCGTCAACCCGCTGCGTAGAGTGACCCTCGCTTGTCGTGGGTGCCAGCTTTGTACATTATTATCATTGTTTGGTCGACTCTTCAACCTGTCTTCAACCTGTCTCACTTTTGGTTTTGACCCGTGAAGATCCTCGGTGTTCGAACTGGCTTTCAGCAACCGTAAGAGGCCTGATCGGGTGGTCAGGCTCTCTGACTTGGTTAACACATGTCATCGTATCCTAATTGCATTAATCGATGTTCATACTGTTGATCACTGGATTGTCTGGTAAAGACTAGATTAATTACAGACCGCCGCCATATAACTGGAATATTGCTGAGTGCGGCGTTTAACAATAAACAAACACTTTTCTTCACATACCCATCTGTGCCAAACGGCGTTACATTGAGGTCACTTCTTACATCTTACATTTTACAGAGTTCCGCAACCGCTGGCATTTGGCGGAGTGGTGAGTCTTAAGACAGATGTGTTCCAACGAGTCAACGGCTACTCCAATGTCTACTTCGACTGGGGAGGGGAGGACGACGACCTCTACTACAGGTACGTACCTGTACATGCAAAACGGTTCACAGAGCGAACGCGAAACACGAAAAACTTGTAACATTTTCTCGACAAAAGAACCTTATATTTTCAGAATTATTCAAGATTCAACGGATGTTTGTTTCTTTTCCATTCCCTTAAGAAAACAGAAAGAGAATGGTAAAATGAAAAGGTTTGAAAAGTAGCGTGTCGTCATTTATATACTCGTTATGAGTCTCCTGTATACATGTATGCTCCTAGTTGGACTGTCACAATAATATTCCGTTGCAGGATCCGTAAAAGGGGTTACCGCGTTGTCAGATATCCGATGAATGCTTCCATGTACAAGGATCTCGGTCACCCACCGTGTTTGAAAAATCCTACAAGGTAAAATAATAATAAACTGTTCCACCAACCCTACTCATTTATAATAAATCGTTGTAACAGAACATCACATGAAGAACGCAATTGTGTATCTGTCCCCAGAGAATAATTGATGGACAACATCAAAGCACAAGATCATATATCATTAAATGTGTCAGCAATTGAATTAAGCTGAGGACAAGAACCAAACGTGTCTTGAGGTCAGCTTTGTAGCGTTATTGGTTAGCGTCAAGTTGGAATTGCCGAAGACCCGGGTTCGATACCCGACATGGGTACAATGTGTGAGGCCCATTTCTGGTGTCCCCCGCCGAGATATTGCTGGAATATTGCTAAAAGCGGCGTAAACTAAACTCATTCACTCAAGTTGGAATTTCTCGAAAGTTACATAAGACCATAAATTTTCAGTGATAAATCAGAATTTTACAGTCGCTCAAATGCACGTATAGGAAATTGTAAGAACGATCTGTGCGAGAAAGTATCGTTTCAGAGGTAAGAGATAAACGTGTAAGTGATAAGAGAGAACCGTTAAAGTGAGTGAGTTTAGTTTTACGCCGCACTCAGCAGTATTCCAGCTATATGGCAGCGGTCTGTAAATAATCGAGTCTGGAACAGACAATCCAGTGATCAACAACATGAGCATCGATCTGCGCAATGAGAACCGATGACATGTGGCAACCAAGTCAGCGAGTCTTACCACCCGATCCCTTTAGTCGCCTCTTACGATAAGCATGGGTTACTGAAGATCAATATTCTAATCCGGACCTTCACGGGTAGTACCGTTAAAGAGGTAGGAGAGGACAGCATAAGAGATAAGAGAGAACCGTTCAAAAGAGGTAAGAAAAAAAACGTTCAAAAGGTAAGAAGGAACCGTTAGAGAGTTAAGGGAGAACCGTTTAAGATCTGCGCAAGAAAGATCAGTGTAAACAAATGTGGGTGTGGTAGACTTTACACACGTATAGATGTGATACTGAACCATAGACACCTTCCAAGCTGATGAATGACGTAAGTCTATTTTAATTCTGTGGGTGAGAAGTGCTATTCATGCTCTATGTTAAGTTTATGTTTCAGAAAAAAATATCTGAGATCTGGATTGAGACGAATGGAGACTGATGGACTAAGCAGTTTGAGTTACCAAAGATATCTGATTGAGTTTAGGAGACTATATACGTGGATTTACGTCGGAATCGACGAGAAAATGGTACTTCAGAACCAACAAAAAGACTTGATCGAAAATGAGGAATATCACATTAAACGAAATAGACATTAATAATTTAGATTTTCCGGTGATTATTTCCCTAAAGAAACATGGATGGGGATCCACTACAGAATACACGTTTATTTGTTTATCACAGGATCCAATGGGAAAGGATTGGGGAAAATCCTAACCCTCACACACTAACGCTAACGTTTGAGGAGGCACGAAATATCAGTGAAGTGATTATAAAGAATCTTCCTTGAAATATATCTGTGTCTTATACTGTTTATTGGATGGCGAACCAGGGGCGGATACAGCTTTTTGAGAAAGAGGGGGTGTACACTTCATTTTCTCCCGTTTTCACGAGAATTTCAACGGTCATTAAATAAACTTTCAGGACAAAAGGAGTGTTCCACCCCTCCTCCCCACCACCTCTGGATCCGCCTATGCGAACGGATTATATCATCGCACGGAGAGCTATAACTTCAAGTTGTGTACGTGATTTGCTCACTGCTGACGGAAAAGGCAACGCATCAACTCATGCTTTAAAACAGTATATAGTTGCGTATGATTCATTGCCTTTATATAAACTGATGACACACACACACACACACACACACACACACACACACACACAGATATATATATATATATATATGGACAGGAAACTCTAGATTTTTTACGGGCATCTCGTATCATCACTAAATTACTAGAAAGTGATTCGTCACATCACAAACAGCAAATTTCGGGACCCCTCCTGTCGCAGTATTCCACTAAGTGGACATGTGGAAGGATGTGCTGGGAATAAAATTCCAAACTTTACAATATTCCCATTTTAAAAAATATTAACTGTGACGAAAAGAAGAAAAAGAAAAGAAACATATTTCATTGAACCGTTCAGACCAAAACTAACTGTATAACGTAAACTCGATTTTGTCCATCTGCATATACATGCAATGACATTAATTGATGGAGATATGTTGGAGCAGTGTTATGCAAGGTTCTGTACATGTATATCAAGATCTTGTACTGACACCGGAAGTAAAATGGCAGCCAATGCAAGATTATCAGGATCGGTGCAACATGGTCGCAAATCCGCGTGCGAGTAATGAGTCTCGCTGCACTGATCTGTACTCTCTGTAGGCGGTGATAAATATTAACAACGCAGACCAGTAAATGGTTTAAATGATTTATTTGCGCTGAGCACGTTAAATAGACACAAGTCAGTATGAAACAGAGGAACACTTTTTATAGATGGAACGCTTCTTTATTACAGCAGATGCGACGTTTCGGTGTATCAAGCAAATGATACAACATTATGCACGAGGCGAAATCTATACATGAAGGGTTATAATGGAACAATCCACTTTCTAGCGAGCAGAGTAGGGTGAGCCCGAAACATGTTCGTTACTGAGAAGTTTGATTGTGTGTAAATAGAACTTTGTTGTGATTAAATGATAATCTGTCTCCTCTTCTCAAAATTGTTTTATTATCATTTACTATCGAATAAGAAAACAGATTTGTCACTGAGAGTTTTGATTGTGTTTATTGACAAGTTATCCAACTTAGAAAAGCCCTCTCCCAATAATAGGATATGCACTGGCGTAGCTACCATTATAAGAAAAGCCCGGGCTTACACATGATTTTTGCTGAAGATCACCATGTAAGTTTGGCAAGCCCTCAATACTATCTAAATTTATAAAGTTTTGCAACCTATCAGAGTGGCTTGCTATGCGCCTGATATGTACAACAGAAGTTAACCGACAAAACATTGTGTTTGAGAGATATAGATGTGTACATATTTGAAAATATTCTGATTTTCAGTAATTGAGAGACCTGCATTGCTATGTAAGATAAAATTAATACCAATCAGTATTCAACAGAGTCGCAATTTCTAATAGCTAACGGGGTGTAACCACTAAGGGAATATTATTCCACACTTTAACTGCTGATGGAATAATAGATGATGTTGAGTACCTCAGTCTTGTACATGGTTGGCTAAAATTATCGGTTTCATAGCTTGTCCGGTCGCCTACTACAGTTGGAGTAAATCCTGAAGAAAAACTGGTGTTGTTCTATTTAGTAGGAACTGTACTTTCAGTAATGATCCAATCATTTGCTTTGTCTTTTTAACAATGTTTTCACAATGATGCCGTCAACTCCCGTAAACGAGAAGGTTAAACCCAAATGTTTATGAAAATCAATTATTTAATATGCAGCAATCAAAATTCAAATTAATGTCTTTTCGGACATCTTTCAAAGTAAATAATATAGCTCCAGTTTTAATGTTATGTTTTTATTTGGACTATTCCATTATATTGCGTAGGTAACAGGTAGTAACTAATATGTTCATTGAATCGTAAATGTTGTTTTAAGGCGTCTGCGAACTGCCTGTCTGCGTAATAGGAGGACACCCTAAAAACTGTTCCTCTTCATCATAACAGGTTCTAAATGCCACTTATAGATGTAACAGGGTGAAACGGCGATGGAAAGTTAAAAATATTCGTAGAACATTGTGCTTCATCGAAGGAACGAGAAAAAACTCTAAATTTCAGGTTTTTAAAAAAACTTGACGTAACGAGAAAATACTCGAAGAAATGAGACAATTCGCTGTACAAATATTTTACGCTACAAAAGCGGCAGCATTTAGGATTTTGTGCTGAACGTTTCAAGGATGTGTTGTATCTTATAGTTCCCTGGCCTCCGGTGGTTTAGACTGTCGGGCATAAGCATAAATAATGCCCCCGACTGTAACGGGGATTTCCCAGCACCCGTAGTGGTGAAAGTAGTGGGCATTGGTGGGCGTGGAATAGTTTCTCTACATCGATTGGAAAATGAACACGTGACCAGCTCAGCTACTCAGAATGCAGGCATGACAATGAACCAAACAAACAAAAAATTGATCATAAAATTATTTTTTCAGGTGAACAATGATTATCCTTGTTTGCATTTGTTTGTGACGGCTACCGCCGGTGGGGCAGGGTTCTCTAACCTTTTAACAGGATATCGGCAGCCGGAGACTGAAGGTGCTGGAGCTTCCGTACCGTATTATCATCAAATCCTGTACACTAAATTCTGACGAACAAACATAAGGCGTACTTAATATAAATGAGCAAGGCTTAGAACGAGGCACATCTTTGAACAATAGTTCGATTACATAAGCTTCAGTGTACACACGTGTGAGGTAATACACGACACGCGAGTTCAACGGGAACCCAGGGGGGATACCGGCCTGGAGAATAGAGTGTCATCGTGACCTAATTGAATGAGGCTTTGCTCATGCTTCAATCACTGGCCACTGGCTGCAAGGTCAAACTTACATATTTACAGACTTCGTGATATAGGAACGCTGCTGACTGGAGCTGATCAAATTTCTCTCGCTGACATAACGTTATTATCGACAGGGAGCAATAAGTTGACTGTTAAAAACGCCACTCGTCCAAGATGTCGGATAGTTTAATAAAATACATTATGGTGCAATTCAGATTTGTTCTGCAACCTAAATCTTTGAGAGATGTAACTGAACGTCTATTTAGAACAATAGACATCGTGCACTGGAAAGATGTAAACTTTGTCCCCAGGCTGACATGATTGTGTGTATTGGTAGGGCAGCGTCGTCACGTTGAATGTCTTCGACAAGGGTATATAAATCGACATCAGCAAAGTGCGACTCTGAAAAACAAAATAATTTTGAAGAAAACATTTTGATAATTCTTTTGAAACGTCAGAATATTTTTGTTTTGTTTGTTTCTTGTTTAGCGCCGCACTCAGCAATGTTCATGCTATATAAGGAAGTATGTAAATAATGGAGTCTAGACCAGACAATCCCGTGATTGATACCACGAGCATCGATGTACCAAATAAAAATAATACGTACGCATGGCTAAAATTACTAAATACTCATTTTTTATTTAAAAAGAAACAACTAACTGACCCAGAGCGTATTTCACGAAATATTTTCCACGTGTAGCTACATTTTCTGAGACAATTAGCTTTGATAATATATGTATATTCAAATATGGAACGTGATTACTCTAACCTCTATGATTCCTCGGCTCTACAAATGCCGGGGTTGGGGTAGCCTAGTGGTTAAAGCGTTCGTTAGGCTCGCGAAGACGCGGGTCTCCACATGGGTACAATGCCCATTTCCGGTGTCCTCCGCCGTTATATTCCTGGAATACTGCTAAAAGCGGCGTAAAACCATACTCACTCACTCACTCACTGTACAATTGCCTTTTAAGCCAAATGAGATCAGTTCCATCAGACACGCGTACGGTCCGGGTTTGAACTGGTCTGCTCGGTGGTTTGGTTGAAACATGCCATCGTATCTCAATTGTGTAGATCGATCCTCATGCTGTTGATCACTGTATTGTCTGGTCCAGACTCAACTATTTACAGACCACCGTCATATAGCTGGAATATTGCTGAGTGCGGCGTTAAACAACAAACAAACAAAGACTGTGTGAGTTTAGTTTTACGCCACACTCAGTAGTATTCCGGCTATATGGTCTGGAAATAATCGAGTCTGGACCAGACAATCCAGGGATCAACAGCATTAGCATCGATCTGCGCAATTGGGAACCGATGACATGTGTCAAACAAGTAAGCGTGCCCGACCACCCGATCCCGTTAGTCGTCTCTTACGACAAGCAGGGGTTACTGAAGATCAATATTCTAGCTCGGACCTTCACGGGTCACAAACAAAGAAGGTTCCAGCAGCTAATCGAGACTGATTATTATTGGCGTCGACGTTTTATACACATATATACAGGAATGACCAACATGGTGACCTCAAGTGGATATCAAATGGTTGACCGCTGTAGTATATGTAACTTAGGACAAGGTTGCTTACTTTACGTTAAATGTGACGATGAAATGCTCCTATTATCGACCACCTGGTTGGGATGATCCCTCCACGTGTCACTTGTAAACTTGACGTATTGCTGTGGTGTGACTGTATTTTAATGTTTAACACTGTTTAAACTCTCACTGTATTTGTTTCTGGATATCTCTGCATTGCACAGTCCATCCTCAGGTAATCTTTGATCCGGAAGTACTTTATAACAGCATTTTTGATGGCCTGGATCTGGAAAGGAGATCTGTCTGTTAAGAACGCTATTTGTTTCAATTCATATACTAAGCCTACTTGCCCCTAGCTTTAGAAATAGAAACTTTGCTCTGGTGTGTTAATCTAAACATATACTATTTATCACATGGAGAGTCCGGGCTAGCATAAAACATATGTTTGATAATATAGCCTTAAGAAATAATGAAACCACATGAAAAAGAGCATGGGGACATATAGAATGAAAAGGACATAATCAAATTGAGTGAGTGAGTTTAGTTTTACGCCGCTTTTAGCAATATTCCAGTAATATCACGTAGGGGGACACCAGAAAATAGGCTTCACGCATTGTACCCATGTGGGGAATCAAACCAGGGTCTTCGACGTGACGCGCGAATGCTTATACCACTAGGCTACCCCACCGCCCCTTATCAGAGTGAAAAGCAGGGTAGAGAAATACAATATACATAATGTCAGACTGAACAGCAAGGCCGAGAATGAAAAGTCAGGAATGAAAATGTACTACAGCGACAAATCGAGAGACTCATAAACACACGTCTAAATGAAGCGCGGGGACGAGATTGATAAACACACATGTCGAAATGAAGCGCAGGGACGAGATTGATAAACACACATTCCTAAACGAAGCACAGGGAAGAGATTGATAAACACACGTGACTAAATGAAGCACAGAGACGAGATTGATAAACACACGTTTAAATGAAGCACAGAGACGAGATTGATAGACACACATGTCTAAATGAAGCACAAGGAAGAGATTGACAAACACACATGCCTAAATGAAGCACAGGGACGAGATTGATAAACGCACATGTGCACAGGAACAATATTAATGAGCACGCAGGTATAAATGAAGTGTTGGGGCGAGATATATAAACAGACGTGTCCAAATGAAGCGCATATAACCGAGAGAGACGAACACATAGCCGAGGAGAACAGACACGTGACCCTGATGATGGACCAGAAAGAGATTGTCACAGATGGAGTCATGGGGGACGTTAAAAACCTGCTTTGATGTAGTGGGAATACGTTTAGAAGTAGATCGCCCTGTTGTAAACAATGTACTCACGGGGTATGCCTTCTTACATGATGGTGTGATTCCAGCCTTCTCAAGCGCCCTGTCAAAATAAAACCATTTCTGTATTACAGGATGCCCAATGTACCTATAAACTGAACTTTTAGATGTATACGATTACATTGATTTATGCACTTTATATGTAACCGAGGATTTCACCTCGAGCATGGAATGCACAAAAAGATTTCTCTGAGGTAGATCAACTTATTGTATGGGTACACAAGACACAACGAATTAAACGTTGGAACTATTTGAGCCACATTCGTATTTGATTTGTAGTTATGGAGTTATTGGGGTTAGAATGTCAAGCGACAGTCTGTCTCACAGTCCCTGAACCACATTATCTTCCCTACCACCTAGCCCTCCCTGCAATGTAGTCTGTCTCACAGTTCCTGAACCACATTATCTTCCCTATCACCTAGCCCTCCCTGCAAAGTAGTCTGTCTCACAGTCCCTGAACCACATTAAATTCCCTACCACCTAGCCCTCCCTGAAATGTAGTGTGTCTCACAGTCACTGAACCACATTATCTTCCCTACCACCTAGCCCTCCCTGCAATGTAGTCTGTCTCACAGTCCCTGAACCACATTATCTTCCCTACCGCCTAGCCCTCCCTGCAAAGTAGTCTGTCTCACAGTCCCTGAACCATATTATCTTCCCTATCACCTAGCCCTCCCTGCAATGTAGTCTGTATCACAGTCCCTGAACTACATTATCTTCCCTAATGCCTAGCCCTCACTGCAACGTTGTCTGTCTCACAGTCCCTGAACCACATTATCTTCCCTACCACCTAGCCCTCCCTGAAATGTAGTCTGTCTCACAGTCCCTGAACCACATTATCTTCCCTACAGCCTAGCCCGCCCTGCAATGTAGTCTGTCTCACAGTCCCTGAACCACATTATCTTCCCTATCACCTAGCCCTCCGTGCAATGTAGTCTGTATCACAGTCCCTGAACTACATTATCTTCCCTAATGCCTAGCCCTCCCTGCAACGTTGTCTGTCTCACAGTCCCTGAACCACATTATCTTCCCTACCACCTAGCCCTCCCTGAAATGTAGTCTGTCTCACAGTCCCTGAACCACATTATCTTCCCTACAGCCTAGCCCGCCCTGCAATGTAGTCTGTCTCACAGTCCCTGAACCACATTATCTTCCCTATCACCTAGCCCTCCATGCAATGTAGTCTGTCTTACAGTCCCTGAACCATATTATCTTCCCTACTGCCTAGCCCTCCCTGCAAAGTAGCCTGTCTCACAGTCCCTGAACCATATTATCTTCTATACCTCCTACCCCTCCCTGCAACGTTGTCTGTCTCACAGTCCCTGAACCACATTATCTTCCCTACTGCCTAGCCCTCACTGCAATGTAGACTGTCTCACAGTCCCTGAACCATATTATCTTCCCTACCACCTAGCCCTCCCTGCAATGTAGTCTGTCTCACAGTCCCTGACCTACATTATCTTCCCTACTGCCTAGCCCTCCCTGCAACGTTGTCTGTCTCACAGTCCCCTGAACTACATAATCTTCCCTACCACCTAGCCCTCCATGCAACGTTGTCCGTCTCACAGTCCCTGAACCACATTATCTTCCCTACCACCTAGCCCTCCCTGCAACGTTGTCTGTCTCACAGTCCCTGAACCACATTATCTTCCCTACCATTTAGCCCTCCCTGCAACGGTGTCTGTCTCACAGTCCCTGAACCACATTATCTTCCCTACAGCCTAGCCCTCCCTGCAACGTTGTCTGTCTCACAGTCCCCTGAACAACATAATCTTCCCTACCACCTAGCCCTCCGTGCAATGTAGTCAGTCTCACAGTTCCTGAACCACATTATCTTCCCTAATGCCTAGCCCTCCATGCAACGTTGTCTGTCTCACAGTCCCTGAACCACATTATCTTCCCTACTGCCTAGCCCTCCTTGCAATGTAGCGTGTCTCACAGTCCCTGAACTACATTATCTTCCCTAATGCCTAGCCCTCCCTGCAACGTTGTCTGTCTCACAGTCCCTGAACCACATTATCTTCCCTACCACCTAGCCCTCCCTGAAATGTAGTCTGTCTCACAGTTCCTGAACCACATTATCTTCCCTACAGCCTAGCCCGCCCTGCAATGTAGTCTGTCTCACAGTCCCTGAACTACATTATCTTCCCTAATGCCTAGCCCTCCCTGCAACGTTGTCTGTCTCACAGTCCCTGAACCACATTATCTTCCCTACCACCTAGCCCTCCCTGAAATGTAGTCTGTATCACAGTCCCTGAACCACATTATCTTCCCTACAGCCTAGCCCGCCCTGCAATGGAGTCTGTCTCACAGTCCCTGAACCACATTATCTTCCCTATCACCTAGCCCTCCCTGCAATGTAGTCTGTCTTACAGTCCCTGAACCATATTATCTTCCCTACTGCCTAGCCCTCCCTGCAAAGTAGCCTGTCTCACAGTCCCTGAACCATATTATCTTCTATACCTCCTACCCCTCCCTGCAACGTTGTCTGTCTCACAGTCCCTGAACCACATTATCTTCCCTATCACCTAGCCCTCCCTGCAATGTAGTCTGTCTTACAGTCCCTGAACCATATTATCTTCCCTACTGCCTAGCCCTCCCTGCAAAGTAGCCTGTCTCACAGTCCCTGAACCATATTATCTTCTATACCTCCTACCCCTCCCTGCAACGTTGTCTGTCTCACAGTCCCTGAACCATATTATCTTCCCTACCACCTAGCCCTCCCTGCAATGTAGTCTGTCTCACAGTCCCTTAACTACATTATCTTCCCTACTGCCTAGCCCTCCCTGCAACGTTGTCTGTCTCACAGTCCCCTGAACTACATAATCTTCCCTACGACCTAGCCCTCCATGCAACGTTGTCCGTCTCACAGTCCCTGAACCACATTATCTTCCCTACCACCTAGCCCTCCCTGCAACGTTGTCTGTCTCACAGTCCCTGAACCACATTATCTTCCCTACTGCCTAGCCCTCACTGCAATGTTGTCTGTCTCACAGTCCCTGAACCACATTATCTTCCCTACTGCCTAGCCCTCCCTGCAACGTTGTCTGTCTCACAGTCCCCTGAACTACATAATCTTCCCTACCACCTAGCCCTCCGTGCAATGTAGTCAGTCTCACAGTTCCTGAACCACATTATCTTCCCTAATGCCTAGCCCTCCATGCAACGTTGTCTGTCTCACAGTCCCTGAACCACATTATCTTCCCTACTGCCTAGCCCTCCTTGCAATGTAGCCTGTCTCACAGTCCCTGATCCACATTATCTTCCCTACTGCCTAGCCCACCCTGCAACGTTGTCTGTCTCACAGTCCCTGAACCACATTATCTTCCCTATCACCTAGCCCTCCATGCAACGTTGTCTGTCTCACAGTCCCTGAACCACATTATCTTCCCTACCACCTAGCCCTCCATGCAACGTTGTCTGTATCACAGTCCCTGAACCACATTATCTTCCCTACCACCTAGCCCTCCCTGCAACGTTGTCTGTCTCACAGTCCCTGAACCACATACAACATGCAACTGAGGGTGTTTAAGGCGTGACCGATAAACGGATCTTTGTCGAGATCTTCGCACAAATAAGGTCGACGTGCCAGTGGAATGGGAAGCAGTGACGAAGCGAATCCCTATCCTTGCAGTGAAACAGGGCGACCCATTGCGTCTGTTCCCTCAGGTCTTTCAGGACCGAGTTGAATTTTTGCGTGAGGACGCAAATGCTGTGGTTCATGTGGCGTCCCGAAAACGCTAAATACGATAACATGTCTCTCTTTTTGGTGATCTCCTTGTTGGCGCTGCAATCGTCTAGGATAAACAGCGTCGATCCTCCCTCGAACGTTTCGTGAAAAGCTCGCAACCAGTCCTGTAAACGTACTCCCGGGTCGATTTTATATACCTCCGTGTCGTTCATCACCCACGCTCTCTCCGTGTACGTTTTATTGACGCGTATCGTAGGGCAAAGAATCACGATATGATCGAACACATTCCGATAGTACCCTTCCAGCAGATCCAAGACGAACACGGTCTTCCCGCATCCCGTCTGACTGCACACGATGGCGCATGCGGATCGCGAGGTAAATCAATAGATGGCTTGCACGAATCTTCCATTTTGCATATTAAGCTGCGCATCCATGATCACGTACAAATGAAAGTCGGTTTGAGCCTTCTTGCGGATTTGGATGGTGATCCCCTTGCTGCCGTTCTCGATGCGACGCCCGCTGCCGTGCAGTTGATCATTGTCCATGGATCGCATGTCCAACCACAGCGCATACTTGGTCATCAGGTACTCTCCTAGCGTCACGGAGGCCAGACCGAGGTCCCTGACGATCGCGTTGATTTTCGGCGGGTGCTTGATCGCCGGTAACTTTTGGATCTTGTCCCACTGATGGTAAGCGCGCATGACTTGGCTGAAGAGCTGGTTTGGGCACGCCCTCGACTTTCGTGATCTTGGGGTTCCAATACTTTTCGTTGACCCTTTGAATCGGCTGAAATTCTTCTACTGGCAGGATCAAAATGCCCATCATTGATCGCGTGGGCACGTTCAGATTGATGTTCAACAGCATGTCGCTCTTGTTCGCGACGATCTTCCGGTGACACAGCACGCAATCGTACAGGGATGGCTAACGTGCCCGAATACTGGCTGCGAATATGTCGAGCCAATTCCGTATTCGTCACCTTGTCGAACTCCAGCGAAATATTGTTGATGGTGTAGCGACCCTCATCACGGTTCTCCGTCACAATCACATGGCTATAATCATTAAAAGCGAGTTTGTACTTCAGCCTGTCGCCCAGCGCGGCTTGATAAAATGGCATATGACACGCCAGCAACTCGAAGTCGAGCGGGATGCAAAATCGGTTCCCGAACGCCTCGCTGATGGCCTTGTGTTTTTTGGCCATCACGGCAAGTTCGGCATGCTCGAAACCGTACCCCACGCGCAACCGAGTCGTGGGACACTCGGCTGAACAAATCCCTTGGTACTTCATGTTTTCCCGTTCGCTCGCATTCTCCAGAGGTCCGTGTAGCTGAAGAACACGTCCCTGTCGTCGATGC